AGATTTAATGCCCCATGAATACGTAATTGGAACTGTAAGGACATGTGTAAGAAATGTTTCCACATGTTTTCCCTTGATTTGTCCATCCTAGTACCCAGATAAACCCTTTGTTTATTTGGGCTTCGAAGTGGACTAGATCAAAAAGTCTGTACTGCTGTCCCCTTCCTCATGAGGAGGTTGGCTTTATATGATTTAACATGAAAAGTATTCTGCAAATTTTAGTCTCCAAATGGAAACCGGTTTCTTGAATAGCATCTCTTTTACCAGATGCTGCAACAGGACTGAAAGGAAACTCACAATGGACACCTGCCATGAACACTGAGGATGTGGGTAGTAGGTAAGCTACATTACATCCATAGACTACCTAAATTTTATAAATTTCCTTTAGATGGAAGGAGAATGCCTAACAAGTAATTAGTCATTTGTTTTATATATTTAAGTAAATTTCCTTTCCCAAGCATTTTTCCATAATTTAGTGTTGTAATTAAAAGATCTTGGACTTGCAAAATTGGTATAACAAGATTCACACTCGAAATTAAGGTCCGAGTATAGCATGATAGTAAAGTCAAGGAAATTTAATATATATGACTGAGACTGATTATAATACCTTCTGTCCATGCTAGAACCCAGAAAATGCCTCTTGTTCTTTGGGCGTAGAAAATGGACAAGATTAAACAAGTTGATCTACTTTGCCTCCTTTGCCTCTGAGGAAAGCAAGTTGTGATACTTGACATGTTTTTAATCTTTAATTTGAATGAAATGTTTTTATACTTGTAATTTTCAAAGATTACTCTTCAAAACCAGCAGATCCCAAGATGACAATGCTACGAGAGATGAAAAGTTCTACGGTGTATGGTTATTGAAGCAAAGGATTTCCTACAGAGGAATTTTGGTAAATATTTTATAAGATTTATTCCGTATCCATTTTTCTGCATGTGCTGAAAATCTCCCTAATATTGTCTTGTATTCCTGTAAGTGGTGAATTGAATCTTATCAAAGGGGAATTATAAAAGCTGTGTAAATGCTAAACTTGGCATCTTGTGGTTAAGACAATGTATACTTAATCATCAGGGAACTTCTGATCACATCTAGCATGAATCAGGAAACTTGTAATGTTTGAAATAGGTGAACATTTTGGTCAGTACTTAATACTATAATCTGTCTGGTAGTATAGTTTCTTTAAAGGCGAACACTTGATCTTGCATAAACACAAGGTAACAACTTTGCTATTCCTGTAATATCCTATAGATTTTCAAATGCTCTTGCAGAGATTGTATTGCTGTATATTTTGGGTAAACTTAACTCTTTTAAATGTAGGCCTTTTGTCCCATAGAAAGTGAATACTTTGAAGGCCAAAAATTTTAGTTGGCTAAGTTCTACACCTCTCCAGTGGATGAATGTAATTAAATGCCAATATAAATGGAGGGGTAGTTGGTGAAAATGGTTAGCTTATCTGTATAGATAATCCATACAGTGCCCCAGGAAACTTCTTTACGACCTGAGAGCAATGGGTTTTGAAAACATGGTCATTTGTTAATGATAGTGTTTTATGCTTGGTACTTTGGAACAAGTATTACTTATGAAAGTATTCATGAAGCAATTTAAATTTCAAATGGGCAGCAAGTCTTTAGTTGGTGCTATTAGCTATCAAAGAGCAGGCTGCAAGCTAACAAGTGTCCATCCTAGTACCAAGGAAACTGTTACTGTTTACTTGTTTTTTTAATGGACAAGATAAAAAAGTCGAAGCCATTTTGCCTTTTTCTCTTTGATAAAGGCAGGTTTAGACTTGACATGTTAAATGTGCATGGGAGCAGTATAAATTGTGACCTTGATTGAATATTTAGAAAATGGGTTTCTTTAGCAAATTTCGCAATAAACTATGATCCAGTTCATACAAAATGAAGTAGAAAGTTGCATGCAATGGAATTTTACTTTCAAAGTTTACTAATAGCAAATTTTCCACTTCCAGCTTTGTGGCAGTTACATAAGCAGAAGTGAAATACAAGAGTACCAGGATAAGAGTGATTTTGTGTAAGGGCTTGTACATGTATTCTTAAATACTTAGAATGTACAGGTTTTCTAAAATAAAAATATATTCAGATTTTGAGTTTTAAATATTCCTGAGATTTGATTACTAGGTACTAGGCGCACAACTGACAATTCTTTTCCCCAAGTTGTCTATTCACAAGATGTGTATGAAGAGCTCAGTTGTTAAAAGAATGATGGCAAACCATGCAGTTTGATAATTGCCCCTAGTAAGTTGGATGATAAAGACTTGATATGAAAAAGCACAACACCACATTGAACCTGAAAAAAATATTACCAATAAACTAATGGGTTGGATACCTCCTCTCCCATTCTCCTTTCCCCCATCTCCAACCTCTCCTGTTCTGTCCATTCTGTCCCTCCATGGCTTATACCTCACCCCCATATTTTCTCTTCTGTTTTCCCCGACCCACCAAAATCAAATATTCCTCCTGTCCTTCTCACCCATTTCCTTGATCATGTCTCCACTCATTCCTCTAGTATTCATGTATATACTGATGGCTCCAAATCCACCTCTGGTGCTGGTTTTGCAGTAATCTTCCCAACTCTTACTTTCAAATACTCCCTCCCTCCTGAATCCAGCATCCTTACTACAGAACTGTATGCACTCCTTTTTGCCCTAAAACACACATACTCACTCTCCTCTTCCTCTTTTACAATTTTTACTGACTCCCATAACTCATTAACTCATAAAGTCAATACACACCACCAACCCCCTTGTTTGTAAGATCCAGAACTGGTTGTTCTACCTGTCCACATACCATAAAACAAATCAAATTTTGCTGGGTGCCCAGCCATGTTGGAATCCCTGGCAATGCACAGGCAGATGCACTAGCACGCCACGCCTCTGTCCACATCATACCAACCATGCTTCTCACGTATCCCAGCCACAGATTATTACCCACACTTTAAGACCTTGTATAATCGATGGCAATCTTTTTGGTCAAGCCTCCGCACTAATAAATTACATTATGTAAAACTATCAATCTCCTCCTGGTCAGCTCCATTTCATTACAGACGTTGGGGGACCGCTCTCGCCAGTAACACCTGAATCCCAAGCTAAAGCATTATCACTCTTGACTTCACTGGCAAAACCATTCCTACCCAGTTTCATTCCTTTCTCAATACTTGTAATGGAATGGTCTCCCATCTCCCTGACAAACTGCCCCATCTACAACAAGGATTGTCCAGACTGTGGAGTCTCCTGCTTCATTTAGTATGCTGCTACACCATTCCCCTAGAGGCTGCTGTAAGTCCTCCACCAATACTGCCAAGATTACTTTCCACAGACATGACCTCCCCCCATGATGTTTATATTGGCAGAGAGTCCTTCCCTGTCTGACCACACCAACCCCCCTGGCAGTGTCAGCATTGTTGGCATCTAGGCCACCCTGCCAAACACTGCTGCTACACAGATCAATGCCCTTTATATATATCTAACCTGATCATGATCTATCAAATGGTTCTGCATAATCATACGCATGCCAGTTGTGGCGGCTCATCAAAATGTATTTTGTAGGGGATGCCCTACCTTCAAGTTTGAGTATGAGGTGGCAATTCTAATTCAAATTTGGCCTCCCTTTACATTAGGCCAGAGAGGATTGCATGCAGATGAGGTTTTTCTCTTACTCTACTTGCTGTTCTTCACTGTCCCTCCCCCTCCCTCCCAAGATGTTTCTACATCCCATCCAGTACCTCTTACTTATCCCGCCTCTAACTCCTCCCTCTCCCTGTCAAATTCTTTAGCCATTCAAAATCCAGACACCCAATCTTCTCTTACCTCATCCTCTCCAACATCAGCCTCTTCCTCTGCTCCTTAAACGTCTGTCCCCTCTTCCCCTCATAAGAAAATCTGTTTCTCAGACCTCCCCAACTCCACTTCAAAAACTCTCAAAGACATTCAAAACTATCAAATCATGACCCAAGATAACATGCCTACACTTCATCCATCCCTCAATCTTTGTTCCCATTCCCTCAACATTCAAAGTAACTGCCGACATCCATCCTCCTCCTACTTGTGTTCTCCCTACACCCCTTTCCAACACATCCCATTACTCCCAGCTTCAGCAATCACCCATTCTTCCCTATTATTCTTACGTCATAACAACCCCTTCCTTGGATTCTCTTCCTCCTGACATTTCTCCTGAAACTGATCTGATTGCTGATAAACCCCCTTTTCTTCTTTTGCTTATCTCTATCTCACCCTATGTACATTATTGCAGAATCCCACATTTCTTCCTTTAACAGATTTGATCTAATCACCCTTGTTCCTTACAGCAGCCGTTGTCTCACCTTCTCTACCCTCACCTCTCTCTGCCCCTTTCAATTCCTGAACTACTATGCAATTTAAGTGTAGCACACTTAATCAACCCCACTCTTATCTTTTCACTGTTATACCTTTCTAGAATGCTATACTACCTTTGATGTCTAGCACATTTATTTTTTGTAACCACTATGGATATATCCCAGCCACTGTACTGATTACTGACCTACCATATCCACTGTACTGATTGTTTAAAATTATATGCCGCATCAACAGCTAAGTTCATTATCAGCAACTAGCTACTGTATGGGCATGTCCAGACAAGCAGGCCTCATCTGTAGGTATGCTCTAAGTGACCTTAGAGGCAGGCAGATTACAGGTTAAATAACCATTTGTGAGTGAATTGGTGGCTTAGCCTGTTTCTTGATGCTGATTAGGCTTTATGAACCCCATCTTACAGCTCAAAATTTGATCGTGTCTAGTAGTGAGAAATTTACTTTTCATAGTTTTTTCTATTCTGGCTGTAAGTTATAGACTGCCTATTTTTCGTAAAGTAACCTGTAACCATTGTATCAGGGAAGAAAAAAAGGGTGAAGAGCAGATGCTGCACTTTAAAACATAAGGGTAATGGTCTCCTTAAGTTGCATCTAAAGATTGTACTTGGTATGTAAATGGCTACAAGGGTTTAAATTGATACTGCCAGATGAGGTTACTGAGTGTATTAAAAATAAAACAAACCAATCTGTTTTTCAGCTGCTAAAAAGACCAGTAGAACCCAACTAATAATGGCTGGAATCTGGGTTAGCATGATTTATAGCAATTTATTATAACAGAAATAAAATGAATTCATCTGAATTCACTGGGCTCTTCACATTGTTATATGTAGGGCTGGATTATCCCATGACTAGTATGGCTAGTACAGGCTGCAGGCTAGGGCTCAACTAATTATTTATTTTTATTTACTTTTTTTTTGGGGGGGGGGAAGGGAAGAAAATGAATAATATCTTTTAATGTAATACTGAATATTCATTTTGTTTAAAATAATTCAAATAAAGAGGCCCAGTTGCTTGAAAACTTGATCTTAAGAGTGGCTCCTTCTCTGAGCTAAGAGAGCCTTTTATTTGAATGCAGGGCCAGATATTGGGACAGTTTGTAAATCGTGGGGTCCCAGTTCAGGCTACTTCACACTATGTAAAATATTTAAGGAGGATTCAGACGAGTTAGAGGGTGGCTCCGTTGAAAATGGGGCCTTATAATATCCTTAGCCTATGAACCCCAAACAGTCGTACTCCAGGCCTGAAAAAGCTGGCTTTCAACATCTTTTTCAACAATCCCGTTTATTATTTTATCTAGGGGATTTCTTTTAATGCAGAAAGATATTTAGTAGTAGTATTGATAAAAGAAAATAAATTTCATTGTATTATTGTGTTATTAAGTGTTTAAATAAGATATTAGAGTACCAAATAATATCTGCATAAAAAATTAATTTTTACATATATATGTGTGCAATAATGTCTACCACATATTATAAATGTGTGTTCTTATATATAAAATTAAATGTCAAAGTTTGGTTATACATTATTTTTTTTATGATGAAAGAGGTTTGATATTCATGATTAAACATTGGATTTAACTAAATGTACTCTGTCTGGATGGGTATAACATATGATTACAGTACAGTACCACTAATCAAATGGGCATGGCTGCAGGCAACTGTCGAGGTGATATCAAAGCTGAGGAACACACAGAGATGACAGCATAATCGGGTGAATCATGTAGACACAAAATAAGTAAGTTACATAGTGGAAAACAACCCACCTGGGTCCTGCTTCATCTGGTGATACTACGCAGAATATATGCCCTCAGACAGTACTCAGCAGTGGCAAGTTTATGGTTCCATTGACAAAAGGGCCTTGAAAGGATTGTTGGATTGGATTCATATTAGTCATCAAAATATTCAGAGAAAACAATGGTTCTGCTTAAAATGCAAAAGTATTTGTGACTTCTGGCCTATTTTTGTTTAAACTTTACAATAAAATCTGGGATAGGTTATAACTGCTTCAGCATATCAGGAAATGATGGGTGTAAGTCAAGATTGTTATATGTGAATGGAACACATTAATGCCATTTAATGTGCAATAATGTGCAATGTTGATGGTATTCTTACTATTTTGATAGGATAAAAATCTATTGGTTGAGGCCAGGGCCATAGCACCCTTACAGCTCCTGCAACATGGGAAGGGGAAGGGGGTTTGCAAAAATAAAAGAGAATGAGAGGAAAGGGAAAAAAGGAATGAACAGAAAAAACAAGAGCTAGCAGAAAAAGAAAAAGTGAAAAATCTGACATTTCATATGCTGTATGGCATATGAAATGCTGGTGCCACACCAATAGGTAATCTAATTATTTCAGTCAACTCTACCTTTGTTTGTCTATCAAACACACACAAAGTGCCAGTAATGAATTTACTACATTCCCTCACTGGGTACTGCAAGATGGTGCAGATGGGGCTCTAAACTAGGTATTATATTAGAAGAAAGGGCTTGATATCCAATAGCTTGATGTTCAGTCATCACCACTCCAAGTGTGTAGTTATGTAGTAACGACTAACATACTGTGTTCTTTAAACAAGGTCTGTAATATGTAAAATTAATGAGACCATAAAATTCATTTTTCAATCATCCCTGTTAAACTGCAGAATATTTGGGAAAACCCCATTAGAGGCAATAACATACAGCAATATAACATTGCAAATTCCCTATTTAAGTGCTTCAATTAAATTACACCACAGTAACGGTTGGTCTTTAATATTATTAAATGTATACATATAATAAATACAATTTTGATAAAGTTGAAAAGATATCTAAACATATCACATATCTGAAAGCATGCTACCTGGCCATATTCCAGCCTGGTGATAAAAAATAAAACAAACAAAATTCATACATATAGAACAATATAAATGGAATTATTATTGCAACACTGTCTTAACAAAAAAAAACCACAATTCTAAATGGACCATAGGAAGTGTAAAAAAAACATTACAATAAATAAAATTGGTGAAAATGTGATTCTGCTTTTGGGAATCATTTAGTTTCCATTTCAGCTATAGAATCCTTCGCTCCAAAATTAATTTAAATTTTAAATTCCGAGAAATGTAAAGAATAAATTAGTGAATTATAAAGTTAAGATTTTTCGTATGCACATACTACATCTAGTTCTATAATCTTTAGACTTTGCGCAAAAATGGAACCATAGTTGACAAATCTCTCCACTGTGTATTTTTTTTCACACCATATCTATACAGAATGTACTTCACCAAATAACTCTTTGAACCTGTGGTAAGAATTCCTTAACCTGCTCATCAATATTTTCAATATTACATATGTTGTTACTGCTCAAGGTTAACTCCTTCAATGTAACAATTTCCCGTAAAGGCTTGAGCTGATCAAGTGAGTCAATTTTATTTTGGGACAAAGAGAGTTTTTCCAGTCTCTTGAGAAATGCTAGTGGAGTGATATCAGCAATTTCGTTGTCATCTAGAAGCAGCTCCTTACATGCTACAAGTGACTTTAGTGGCTGTATTGAAGACAGTTCATTACAACTCAGGTCAACAGACTTGCTGCATGCTAGTAGGTGGCTGTAGGCGATTCGGGTAAGGCTCCTTCCATTTAGCTTGAATTGATCATCATTTTCAGTTGTTAAACGATGTTTCTTCAGAGCCGTCTCCATAGACAGCTTGCTCTCTGCAAAAAAGGAAAAGTGAAATACAATATACAGTCTAATATCCAGGAAAATTAGCTAGCAGTGCCTCCAGCCCTTTCATATTGGAATATTGTCTCCCAATTATCAATCCATAGCTCCAAAAGTAATGCTAACCACAAGGGAAACAATTCTAAATCCAGATTTAACAAAGTAGTGATCTAAAAAATAACAGAAGCATGGTCAGCAGAACTTTAAAAATGACACTTGTACAGGTATTTGTTAGGTGATACATTTAGCACCATTAATGATAAAGCAATTATTTTTGGGATTACCACCACCACTTCATATACTGTAGGTAATTTTGGATTACTTCCCTAGCTCTAATGGTTAACAGTGATTCTGAATAGATAAATCAGTAACTGAAACCATTTCAAAGGTCTTTTCTGCCTATAAGTGTTAAAGAGCATTGGGGAGTAACACCACTGTTTTCAGACTACCAATTCCCATTCCTACATATTCTATGTTTAGATAATGGTTCCATAGCAAAATAAATGTGCTAGACATCTAAGTTCATATAGCACTAAATAAAAAGAGTATAAATGAAAAGGGTAAGTTAGTTATTTTTTTTAGATGATAATCAAATGTGCTGCATGTCTAAAGTCATATAGCAGTTCAAGATAGTATGACATCCCTACTACAAGAGTAGGAGGAAGATGGATGTCAGCAGTTACTTTGAGTGTAGAGGGACTAGGAGCAAAGAGACTAGGGATGGATGAGGTGCAGGCATGGTATCTTGGGTCATGACCAGATAGCTTTGAATTTCCTTGAGAGTTTCAGAAATGGAGTTAGTTGGGGAGGACTGACAAACGAAGGATTTCTCATGAGGGAAAGAAGAGGGGACAGACCTCTGTAGGGTGGAGGAGGAGGCTGATGTAGGAGAGGATGTGGTACAAGAAGATGGGGTGGAATGCTGAAATTGTCTTCTGTGAAAAGTTGAGTGAGGAGGAGGGGTAAATCCCAGGGAAGCAGAGATTAGGATTTGGAATAGTGGCAGAGACTGGGGTGTCTGGAATAAGAATGGCAAAAGAATTAGACTGGGACAAGGAGAGGAAGAGGTTAGAAGTAGGGTGAGTAAGAGATACTGGGTGGGATGTAGAAACATTTTGGGAAGGAGGGTGAGGGGCAGAGAGAAGGGTAGCATTGGAGTAGGAATTAAGAGAAAAACCTTGTCTGCACGCTTCCTGTTTGGCCTCACATGAAGTGGGGCCAAGTTTAAATCTGAGAATTTCCACCTCAGACTCAAACTCGTAGGACAGGCAGCCCTGTTATGGGAGCTACCACAATTGGCATGCGAGTATGATTGTGAAGAAAAGTTTAATCGATCATGATCAGTAGAGGGAATACAGGTAAAGTTTAAAACACTAAGCATAGGTAGAGGAATCTTATAAGCTGAAGAATAGTTATATTACTAAATTTGAACCCAATGCTTTTGAGCCAGCTAAAACATGGCAGCACATGGTTACATGTGCTGCCATGGCATGTCATGCATGCCATTCAAAGGTAAAAAGTTGGGGCCATAGGCTTTGAACAGATGTTTTTGGTTAGGCATATAGAGAGCATGTATATGATAATTAACTATCTTATGATATTACCTCAATACCAGCTTGGAACTTACTCATATCTGCGTAATATTTTGTGCGAAGTGGATCAAGGTCCTGAAGTTGTGAGAGGTAACTGCTGATCTTTTCTTGATGGCTGTAGGAGTCCAGAGCCCACATCACATCTACTATGGTTAATAACACCCCTGAAAAAAATGATAAAATTCACAATACATAAGTCTAGAGTTTTACTTCACAAAATTCTATGATTATTTATGACAGCTAAATAGCTTATTTTTTGCTCTAAAAAATAAACAAGGTACAGCTTAGTTCAAAAGGACTTACCTGGACTTGACCAATCTACTTTTTTCTAAGCGTAATTTTACTATC